CATGTAAATGATGATCTTCGTAATTTATTTAGCTTTGAAACTTATAGCTGATTTTCTTTAAAAAATAACTATTGTCAATCAATAAAAGGCTATTCCTTCTGTCCAACTCTCAGGCCGTTAAAGTTCTTGGGATGATTTTTATCTTTTGGAGAAATTAACCGAAGTGACAAACATTAGACCAAAGCTTAGTTTCTTATTTGTCACAGAATTATTAAAAATTAATTCTTGATGAATTGAAACTAATCCAGAGCTGTTGAGTGATAAAATTAAAATAGAAAACCAATACTGGTGCGACAGCAATAGAGAGTTTATGAACACCTCAAAAAGCGCATTACAAACATTTTCGTTGTCCAGTCAAATACTTTTGAGGTGGAAAATAGGAGGCACTATCAAGTTGATGATTCTTTGTTGGTCAGATGTTTAGTCAATTATTTGCACTGCCCCAAACATTTTCATTGCCAAATGTAGAGAACGTGGTACATGATTTAGAAGTAATTCACATATGACACTTAACTGGAGAAATATTCAAATATGCACCTATTAACTACTACTACTACTACTACTACTTGAATTTGAATGCCATTAAGAAACGAAAAGTCTATTAATCAGCCTACATCCCATGCAATTTCGCAAGTCAAGAGCTTGATTATAATAAGAGGCAAGATCACTGCAAATGTTTGACGCGAATTCACTGGAATGTATTGTGTAGCAAAATACCATATCTAGGGTGTGCGCGATGGACTAACCTCCACGATGTGCACACTGGACAACGTATCTTCATACGGCAATAAAGACTATCAGTGGAATTCTGAAGGGATGCTACAGAATAAAAATATCCAAGTCCAGAAAATCCTACAAACCTTTGATGTTGACAATTTCACAATTATGGAAGCAAACCTTTTGGATGCGAAACTGAAATACTACCAATTCCCAAGTTTTACCTTGTATCTTCTACCTAAATACCAACAAGTTGCAATTGGAATTCTGACTCGAGTGAAATAAGGCTTCACATCACATTACGATCTAATCAAGAGTATGGGCTCGATGCAAGACACATGCGAAATAATCAGAGTAAATGTTTGGAACTGTCAAAACCACTTCAAGATATATGCAATCTATAATCCACCCCAGAATTGTCACAACCTTGTTTCTCTGAGCATCTCAAACAAAACTGGAGAATTAAGAGACTTCTAAGGAAATTCCACCAGATGAGGCTATAATAAAACAAACATAACTGGAAAGGAAATAGGAGATATGCTAAATAGCAACATTTTATTGGGGATACTGCTACATATTTGAACTGCAATGAAACCAGATTAACTCCTGACTTTGCTACTGGCTTCATGCGACATCCGCGAGCATACACGCCGCAGAATAATTGACGATCCTGGATCTAGTCAAAAACCAGTCATTGCTAGTATTTCCTATTGGCACCAAAAGTATGACAATGAAAGTGCCAACTAAGCTATCATGGAACTGTAAGAAGGCTGAGAGGCTTAGCTGCACAAACCTTCTAGAGAATGAACTTCACACAAGTCCCCTCAACTTCAATCCACATCCTGACAAATTTTGCAACGAAATCACAAATATTATGATCAGATGTACAAAGAATACTATTTCCCGTGGCAAGACTAAACACTATGGAGTGTTTTGGTCTGAACACCTTGAGTAACTGAAAAGAAAGCGGGACGCTCTTCGCAACACTGCTGATCAGACTGGAAGAGCGGAAGACGAACAAGCATGGAGACGACAACCAACTGTCCTAAGGCAAGCCATCTTACATGCTAAACGAACTTCCTTCGACAACATCATCTTAAATATCAAAGTGAGAGCCAACGCACATTCAAATTCCTGGGTAACCTCCAGAACAACAGAGAAAGACCTAAGAAAGAACCAATAAGCTTCAACAACAATCTCCTTACTGCCGCCTCTGAAATAGCTAACTGTTTTGCGAGTTTCTATTCCATCAAGCAAAAGAAAAACCCTTTTGTCATGAAACCTTCAAGGGATTTTAAGACACAAGTAAGACGGTATGATGAAATTAAGGAAGACATAGCAACATAAAATAATGTACTTACTGAACCATTCAGACCTTGCAAACTAAATGCTACAATATAACAGCTAAAGTGCAAAAAGTCTCCTGTCAAAGACGGTATTCATCCGGAATTTCTAATTAGAATAGGACAAAAAGCCAAGGAAACCATGCTGACGATTTCATCAAAATCCGGGGACCAGTCTTGTACCTAACCAATGGAAAGTTGCCATAGTAATACCAGTACTAAAAAAGCAAATACACTAGCAAATTTGACAACTATAGGCCTATCTCCCTCACAAGCGTGTTGGCTAAACTTACGGAAAGAATGTTTAACAGGTGGCTGACCTGGTACCTTGAAACCAAAAATATTCTTAGGAGTGAACAAGCAGGTTTCAGGCCACGAAGATCAACGAACCAACAAGTAGCCACTTTCTCCCAACACATCAAAAATGGCCTTGATGCAAGAAATACTCTTGCAGCTGTTTTTTTCAATTTCAAAACAGCATTTGACTTAGTGTGGAAAATGAAACTAATTCTATAATTGGCAAAGATTGTTATTAAGCATAACATGCTAAATTAGACTTGAGCATTTATTGGACAAAGATCAAGTAAAGTCAGATATGGAAATGCATTATCAAAATCCAATCTTTTGCAACCGGACATTCCACAGGGAGCTGTCATAATCTACACTCTTTTCAACGCCTTTAACAATGACATAGCCGAATTAGTACAGACAGTTACGGGCGTTAAGTGCTTACTTTATGCAAATGATCGTGTTTTCTGGTATTTCACCTTTAAGAAAAACGCTCAGAAGAGGACAGAAAGTGCCCTAAATGGTGCACTTAAACTACTAGCACACTGGTGCAATAACAATGGAATGGTAATCAACTCCGCAAAAACTGCATTCCAAACTTTATCTTTGGCCCGTCACAGAATAAACCCGCTTCTGAAGTACAAGGATACTACCTTAGAGAAAACCAATGAGTTCACATATCTCGGAATGACGTGTGACACAAAGCTAACGTGGAAAAGTCACATAGCTAAAATAGCAGAACGAGTCTCCAATAGACTGAGTGTACTGAAGCGACTTGCTGGTAGCAAATGCGGATGTGCACGCTCAACTCTCAACACCACTTACAAGATGTTTATTCAGCCAATAATGTTGTATTGCTGTGTGCCACTCATTACAGCCACTGAGTTGATTCTCAAACCACTCGAGAGGGCAAACAACCAAGCATTACAACTAATTACTGGTGAGATAAAATCAACACCCATTGATGCAATGCTCCTAGTTACAAGGGACACCACAATATGTTCCCTTATCAAAGAAAAGGCATTGATCCTGTATGAGAAGGTACTAGGCATTCCCATGGATAAGTTCTTCAGCACATATGAGAATAGGCCAATATGGACAAGTTCTTCAGTACCTATGAGAATAGACCAAGACCCTGAAAACGCAATCTGGTCTAATACAGAAAGCCATCACAAATCAATGACAAACCAAAAAGCCTCCCTCTTCCCATGGATCGATAACAAAACAAAAGGTTACCCTCTTCCCATGAACACATTAGCAGACACTGATGTAGTGTGTTGCACTAACTGCTTGACTACTTCAGGAAATCAAATAACCTTCCAGAAAAAATGCGCTCACTGGCCCTTGAGACAATCAATGTCAACTATCCTGCAGATCAATGGCTCCAAGTCTTCACTGATGCTGCAAACTTACTGGCCCTTGAGACAATCAATGTTAACTATACTGGAGATGGGTCAACTATCCTGCAGATCAATGGCTCCAAGTCTTCACTGCGGGTCATATATAAATTGAGACAATCAATGTCAACTATTCTGCAGATCAATGGCTAGTCTGCACTGTTGAGGCCATGGAAAGCCAAGGAAACGTTGGTGCAGGTGTCTATTCTGAACTCTTCTCATCAATGGCTCCAAGTCTTCACTGATGGGTCATACATAGAAAACAAAGCCAACGTTAGTGCAGGTGTCTATTGTGAACTCTTCTCTTTCTATGCAGCTGCAGGACACAATAGATTTGCTTTCGAAGTTGAAATAGAGGCCATTAGGATTGCACAATGCTAATTTTGTTCCCTGGATGCGAATTCACCAAAGCGGTGATACTTTCGGACTCACAGTCAGCAATAGACTCTATTGGATACAGAGAGACACCGAAAACAGCTGATATTGTAAACAGAGAGACACCCAAAACAGCTGAAGGCTCTATTGGAAACAGAGAGACACCCAAAACAGCTGAGTTAAACGAGTGGAAACAGAGAGCCACCCAAAACAGCTGAATAAAGGTATTACAGAGAGACACCGAAAACAGCTGAAATAAAGGAATGTAGAAAACTCTATCAGCTGCTGGGAGAGAAAAACAAAACAGTGGTCCTACAATGGATTCCTAATCACTGTGGCATTAAAGGCAATGAGCTTGCTGACACACTTTTTAAGAAGGGGACAACGATTTTGCAATGCATGGACCGGCAGATGTCTTTTTACACAACGAATGCCTTAATCAGAAGAGAATTCCAGACCTCAAGTTGCAACGGAATTAAAGCCAACTGGCCAAAAATCGAAGCCGTTGCTGAGTTTTGACTAAGTACCGGACACGATTGCTTGGCAAAACACCTTCACAGATTGGGAGTATACACTCAACCCACATGCTTCCTATGTAACCTACAGGAGGAAATGGAGAAGACCCACCTTAATCGGTGTCCAACTCTAAAGACAAGGACGGAAAGCCAAGGATACTGGGAAGCAAGAAGACAGCTAATGAACTGCTATTAATTAACTGCTAAAAATGTACCACTATACCCTTTTGAGAAGTTGAAGTCAAAGATTAAGGTAAGCAAGAAGACTGCTAATGAACTGCTATTAATTAACTGCTTTAAATGTACCCCCCCCCTCTTGGGGGAAGCTGAAGTCAACAAATGTACCACTATACCCTTTTGAGAAGTTGAAGTCAAAGTTTAAGGGCAAATGATAAATTTTGTAAAGCCTGCCATATGAAATAAAGATATACATAACCGCTAAAATTTTGTATAAACACATGTATATCTAAGAAATGGTAAATTGCATAAGCTTCAATTTTATGATATATTTGTTTGTATGAAACTCAAATCAAATTCGGCAAGGACGCGATGCGTTATTACAAAGATATGAAGTTTTTGTTCTTCTTAATAGTGGAAATGATTTATCATTCAAGG